AAATGATTAAACTCAATTATCTCAAAATAAAATTTATGTAAAAAAGGGCTGTTTTAATAGATAACACCCCATATTGTTAAGGTTGATAGTTAGAGGTTAGGGTAAAGTATAGTATATAGTAAAATTTTGCAAAGAATTTTTTTATTAGAATATTAAAAGTTGTTTCATAAGCAAAATTTTGAGATATTACAACTTTTTTAGAAAACCAAAAAATTTAACATTATATCTGATCTTTATGTTATACTCAGATATACAATTTAATTGATAGATCGTTAGGGTGCGATATATAAATATATTGCATAGTGCGATGCCTAACTAAGTTCTATTATAAAATTTAGATAATATATAGTCTGTATAAGACAATTTAATTAGTCAAAAAGAAAAAATATTTATATTTACTTTTTTACAAATTTCTAATAAAATAGCTAAAGTTTAAAGACTACTGCTCTACCAATTTAAGTTTAATTTTAAATTCAAACCACAAGTTTTGTTCTTAAAGACAAGAAAAACAAATCTTGTAGATTAGTTTTATAGTTTATAAATTTTTAAAAGAGAAGTAATATTTTTTGTAAAGCTATTTTTTATGGAGATTTAAAGCTTCCTGCACCATAGTTAGTAAAATTCAATTTAAAAAATAACTTGTCTTTATAAATAGATTGTAATTTTTTTTTTTTTTGGTATTAAGGTGACCTCTTGGTCAGGTCTCTTTTATTCAGTTACTAATTAACTTTTTACCGTATGCTAAGCCCCTCTTGGCGCCCGTACAGTATACATAATTTTGGAGAATACATACTTTTGATTGTTTATTTAAGTAGTCTGCTTATTACTAAGTTCTACACTAGATGCTATACCTATAACCCAACTAGGGGGTTATCTATTTAAACCCTCTGCGTCATATGTAAGTCAACCTATATATAACCGAATTTTTAAGGTATATCCCTTAAGAATCTAGACTTAGAACTTTAAAGCAAGCTTGATCAGCGAACTTTTTGTCCTCAAGGTAAACCTGCTAGAGCTTTCCATACCCACAATCTGGCTAACCTAGACTTCAGTTGATATGCACAAGCTGAGACCCACCACTTGTGGCCAGTTTTCTTTCTGCTACACAACCTACTTCTGCCCTTGTAAAGTTCATCCAAACCCAGTACCCATTTTACAGACAATCATCCGTTATTTATAGCAGTCCCAAACTACTAATCTAGATGGCCCAGAAGGGCTGTAACCTGCTTCTGGTTCCTGTGGTTAGGTCCTTTTCCTCCGGTTACTCTTCCGGCGGCCTGGTTGGTGGAGTGTCTTGCCGAATACTTCAGTCCCGTTCAGTTATTGCTATTTCACTGATGACGATCCTTTATGTAGTACCGTCAAAGATCTGTATTACCTCTTTACTCAAGGCTTGCCAAGCGAGTGCCCCACTGCCGTATCGGCCCTGTGGTTTTCTGTGATTCAAAGATCTATTCATATAACTTCTATATTATACAAAAGCCCAAAATCTCCCAGTTTCGATGAATTGGTACGACCACAGTTACAGGGTCTCAAGTTTTCCTAGCCACGACAATAGTTACCGAATCCATTTTTCAAAATTCAATTTTTGTCTTCAGTGGGAATTGAACTCCTACTCAACTGCTTGGGGGTGCGACAACTTCACCACTTCACTAAGTCGCCACACCCTAAATAGATTGTAATTTTAAATTTCTTGTATTATATATATATAAGAAAAAATTAAAAAATTCTTTAAATAACTAGTATTACACTTTTTTAAAATATATAAAATATAATTAATTGATCAAATATGTTAGTTAAATATTAAACAATATCTACTTAGAGCAAAAAAATAATTAGTCAATTTTTGTAAAAATATAAAATAATTTAAAAATTTGTCTGCAAAACTATTTAATAAATAATCTATTAGTCAACTAAAAAATATATAAAATACTAAGGAGCAGATATATTTAGCTAGTTTGTATCTTGGGTCAAGCTTTTCTTCTTAGTAAACTCCTTCGCATGTTTGACATCCAAGCCAAAAGGATTTTAATAATAGTAGTAGTAAAAACCTCTTGACTCAAGTATCGATATATCTACTCAGTCACACACAAAGCCCGATCTAAACCAATCAAATTGATTTATATTAACAATATCTTATAGATATCTGGGGAAAATCACCATTTGAAACCAAATGCCAAACAGAGATTTTCCTAGCAAATGACCCGTCCGATTTTTTGAGGATCAGTTATCGGGTTTGAATTATGGAACAGACATGGTGGATCAATTTTTATCAGTTATAGCAGGCTATCGGTTTTGACAAAATCAGTTTTGGAAGGGTATACTGTAGAGAGATTACTATATGTATTTCACTATATCGAGTTGAAGTTTGATAATTCCGTAATTCAAAATTCTTCACTATATCGAGTTGAAGTTTGATAATTCCGTAATTCCAAATTCTTCATTATATCGCAAGTGAGTTGTATTTCGAGAATTTGAGTACACAAGAATTGTAAATAATAATATTGGTTTAAGTAAATTTTTTCTTTATATGTAATAATATACAGTACCATTATATAATAAATTATAAAAAAATCTACTTTTTAAAATTTATAGTTTTAAACTTTCTTTCTATAAACATGCCTTTTCCTTACCGGCATAATAAAATAATAAAGATCTTAAGTTGATGACTGAACCTTCATATAAAACATTTCCAATAAACAAAATTATTGTAATAATTACAGGCTAGTATATAAAGTCGTATTGATAATTCAGAAAAAAATCAAATGAAATAATTTCTGCAAGAAAATATGTTTGCCCATTATGTCACTAAAATTTAACAATGATTATCTACTCGCGCTAATAAATTGCATTTAAAACAAAACGTTATTTAGCGAAAAAGTATTACACATTAAAATTAAAAATTTTAAACATGAAAAGAATGCATGTATTTTTGTGTCATGATCCTGTATGTTGAATCCTCATTCTTGATTGAATGCTAAGTCAGATACATCACGAAGATAAACCAATGTTAGTCGCTTAATTTCGTAGAAACATGGTAAAAGATGAAAACTTTCACCAAATTAATATAGACATCAGTTATCCTTCAATAAATCCAACGCCAATAAGGGAATCTCGACCATCCGAAGCAACGGCAAAACTTACATCCTTCAACATTCTTTTATTTTTTTGATCATGAAAATATGCTTGAATTATTTTTGCATGTGAATCGGTATTGCCTTCGCAGTGAAACATTAAATGTATAATAGGTGCATCCCAATTTTCCAATAAAGTTGCCATTGAAGTAGCTGATATCATCCAATCAATCGAGAATTGACGTAAGTTCGCCATCGCATCCAGTTCTTTAAATGGTGGTAGAATTCCATCGCCATTAAACGATGAAGCACCACCTCGAATTGTAAGTTTATGGAGGCGTAAAGGCCGCTTTAACAGGGATACTAAGTCATTCACATTATCAAAATCACCACCAACTGTGACATCCACAAGATTAGGGCAATATTCTCCCACGACGCCGAGGGTTGTTGAATATTTTTTAAAATTTACTTCCAGACGTATTTCTTGCAAATTCTGGCCATTATTTTGAATTATTGAATTAAAGTCTTCAATCGATAAACCTTCATTACATCGGTCTGCTAGGTATGACCATTTCGTAAGCTTTATACCAAAATTTTTGAGCTTTGGAAATCTTGAGTGTGCTAATGGTTTAAATGCTTCTTTGCCTCTACATCTTAATCTTATTAATTTTAAAGTTTCCAAATTTTTGCAACGTGTCAAGGATTCCATAGATTTCATGTCAATGTCAATGTCATCGATTTCGATATTTATTAACGAATGAGCCTGGGTTTCTAGTGCAAAAAAAATTGGAGTGGTCTTTAACGGAGAATAACGGAAGTAGAAATTTTGAAGATTGCGCTGGTTTTTAATAAGTGCAGCTAATTCATTCGTGGTAGATTGAGACTCTTCAGCTCTATAAGTAATATCATCAATTTCAAGCGTGACAATGTCATGACAAATCGAAGACAGCTTCCATAATGGCTTTCCAATCCAATATGATGCTACAACTATAAGTTTTCGAAGATGTCGTAAACAATAGATAGCACCTTGATATTTCGGAATATCGTCTAAAATTTTTACAGCAATCCATGCAAACAATTGTGTTTCGTTAGTATTTGCACCTACGGCACGAAGTTTTCCAGATCGTTTAAAAAAAAGGTTTTGAATCTTGCGAGAACGATTCATTAAGAGTTTACATATTTCTGTCACTAAATGATAAATAACAACATCCATAGAGTTCGAGACAATTGGATCATCATTTTTTGAATCAGAAGTCGTTACTTGTAAGGTTTCAAGCGAATAAGGTGATCTATACACAGGATTAATCACAGATTTTTGTCTCTTTTCATGCTTCGACCACATATAAACTGCCAGGTATAGAGTCTCAAAATTTAGTTCTTCCAACATAGAAGGATAATCGAAAGTAGCTTGTGATATTACTGGTGGTGTTATTTCATTTGGAATCAGTATTGATCGTGTTTCGGGACTCAAGAAAGACAGATATACTGGAATAATTTTATATAAATTTTCGCTTATAAATACGGAAGAAAATGGTGCGCTCCATAAATAAGGTACACTGTTTTTGCACCAATCTCTATTCACTAATATTGCTGAACTAAGAGTACTCAGTTCGTTAGGGCTAACATGTGCAAAAATATGACCCAAAATCTCTGGAGGTAATCGACTTGTTATTGGAGGATCATAACTTGATGATGATGCCATGTTTTACACTTGCAATTTTATTTTTGAATTTTTTTTGAAAGTAACGATAATGTCAAAGCAGTTTGTTTTAAGCCGTAAATAGGCTTTTTGAAATTGTTAATGTTACACACCTAATTGTTTACGACATCGATGTACCATCGTAGAGTCAATCACAACAAATAATAATCTTGCTTTTACAAAATTAAGCCTTATCAACTATACAGTATCTATACGCATATCCCTAACTTGTTCAAATTTTCAAGAATTCAGTGATATTCTTGAAACACCTCCACTTAAAAATGGAATCAAACTCCGAAAATTGTCCCTTCACACAAAATAATGAATGCCGAAAGCACATCTTTAAACGTGGCAACTTTATCGGGACTAGTGACACGAATCAACAAAATTTTTCTAGTTGGTCCAACTTTTCATGAATTAGTTACGATTAGTTGTCACATGTTTTTAATTAAGTCTATCGTCTATAATCACATGATTTATTAGTATTTAATTTAATTGGTTACGAAATTTTTTTCTGAAGCAATTATTAACGATTAGCGTTAGTTGCTTCGAAAATTTTAAATCGACTAGTTGCCAACTTGGTCAACTCTTCGATTAATCGATTTTCGATTCGTATCTTTAATCGTAACTAATAAATTTTGATCCAAGTTCACCACTTCATTCACCGAATTCATCAAAAAAATCACGACCAATGTCTACGTTTGTTCATCCTCAAGAAAGGCTGGATTCAGAGCAAACGACTAACTCCGAAACAATTAACTCCGCAATGCCGGCACCAGAAGCCTCTTATTCTAATAACACTATGCCATTTTCGTTGCCACCTGCCACAAATTCAGAGGTTGACGTCGCCTCAGTGAATTCTTTCAGAACAATCGATACAAACCAAACCGGTGATCAAGAAAGTTTGTCTTCGGATTTCACGGACCGTGCGAACGAACCACAGGGTTTGATTAAATTGCTTTGCGAAATTGATGTACGAACATTTGGATGATTTTTAACGCTTAATCACATGCTGATTCATGACAATTTACTCGTATGTTCTGTCTCAACTATAATGTTATAATATTAGGGTGGTCTTGGCGTCGCTCTCGAACGAGTTAAACAATGCTCATCATCGGCCAAAGCATGTATACTTCTATTTCTTCATTTATTTAATTTAATTTTATTTTATTTTCTTTTATTTTATTTTCTAGTAGTAATTTGAACTTATATTAATTTCATATCTTTAGGAAACAGCAACTTTTTTAAAAAAAAGGGCAGCAATTGAAGATGAATATGGCAGAATGATGATTAAGTTGGCCAAAAGTATGCAAGAAGGCCACCATACTAATGATACAAAACAAGGGTTTGTATTATGTGTACGTTATATAGAATTATTTGTTGAATTTTTGTGATGTAAATTTCTTACATTTGAGTAAAACAGCTCATATGGTGAAAATTGGCTTTACATGCTGAAGTTACATGAATCCATCGGCGAGAATAGGGTCAAATTTGCAGCAGCAATTCAAGAGATATCTGAAGAAATAACAGCGCTTTATAAAGATACAGATAAAAGCCGAAAGAATGTATGTTTGCACAAAGCAGTTTTGTTTATGTATTTGCTTATTTATTTATTTTTCTTTAAATTTAATGTGGAACAATAAATTTTATGATTAGCTTAAAGATTCGGGTCAAAAACATGAAAAATCAATTCAAGATGCAGAACAAGCATTGGAAAAGGTTTGATTCACATGTTTAGTTGAAGTCTTTAATATTATAATGGAATACCTGATACAAATATCTTGAATTTAGGCTAAAACAAAATATGAGACACATAGTGAAGATTGGGAGCGCACTATTTTGCAAAAAAGTGGCGATATATCTAATATAAAACCAAGAACCTCCTTAACAAAAGCCATTTTTTCTAAGCAGCCAAAGTCTCCCACACAGGTATAATTTTAAATAATAATAGTTTAATTTATTACCTTTATGAATTTTTATAGACATGCATGCGTGTCATTTGTCCAGCTGTTAAAGATGGAAGAAGACGCAAGGAACAAAGCGGCAACTGCCAATGATACATATAAGCATCATTTGTCTATCACAAATACGGCACGGCACGAATATTATGATATACATTTGCCTCGTATGATTATGGTAATAACTTGCGCCCTATGATAGTAATCCATTTTAATTATTTTCATTAATAATATAGTTAGCATGATTTTATTTAAGGCTCTCAAAGATATTTCGGACGAATGTGATATAGGCATACAATATCATCTGGCTCGATATACCTACCTTTTTGAAAATACTATGATAAGCGACGCATTGGTTATAAGTCCCGTCAATACCGAAGATGGTAATTAATCCGTATAATTATTCTTGGTCATTCTGAGATAGATTAACATAGCTTTAATTAATTTCTTAATTGCATTGCCTTTTTTTTTGTAGGTCCTTCTATGCGAAAGATTGTTGAACAAATCAATAACGAAGAGGACTATTACTCATACGTACAGTCATGTAGTGCAAAGGCGAAAAAAACGAAAAACTATGATATCCCATACGATCAATATCATCTGGTAAGTTAATAATGAGTTATATTACGATTTCGTTATTTTTTTCATTTTTTTTTCATTTATTTATTTATTGTTATTTATTTTTATTTTGTTTTGTTGAGTCTGAGCAAGCAATTAATATAATAAATCCCAAAAATATTTTTGGAGTTGATTTGGCTGAACAAATGCGAAGAGATAATCATGAAATTCCATTGATTTTAATTAAGTGTGCAGAAGCAATCGAAAAAAATGGTGGTAAGGCTGTCAAAAAGAAATGTTTTTTGTTAATAAATTCAATATGTTGATTTCAAGCTAAATATGACTTCGATAGGCCTTGAAAGTCAAGGGATTTACCGTGTTTCAGGTGTCCAATCACATATTCAGAAGTTGCGGACATTGTTTGACAGAAGTATGTATTTTAAAATTATTCACAGATTTTACGTTATCAGAATAACATTATGCTTATTAGCGAAAATTTTTTATTAGATGCGGAAGCCGTTGACTTGAGTGCGGAGGAATGTTCTTCAGATGTCAATAATCTTACCAGTGTTTTAAAATTATGGTTTCGAGAGTTACCAGATCCACTTTTTACAAGAGAATTGTATCAAGATTTCATCACTTCTGCAAGTAAGTTAATTTGATATTATCATTTTATTTTTAATATGTAATTAATGTGTAATTAATCTGTAATTCTTAACGATTCTCTTCCGAAGAAATTCCTGATGAAAGAAAACGTGTTCTTGGGCTACACGAACGTGTCAATAATCTTCCAGATCCAAATTATAGTACACTGAAATATTTAATGGGACATTTGCATAAGTATTTATCTGTCTATTTGTCTAATAATATATGTTTGCCATTTTAAAAATAAATTTTACTGAAATATTTCACTGTAGAATTGTTCAAAATCAGGAGAAAAATAAAATGAGCGTTCAAAATCTTGGAATTGTGCTTGGGCCAACATTGATGGGCAGCCCTGTTGTTACTGCAATTTCAAATCCCGTATCATCATCAGGTTTATCATCAGGTTTATCATTACAAAATCCAAATATGGCACTTTCATCGCCTTTATCAAATGTATCAGATGGCGGAGGACTTAATGATATGGGTTGGCAGTGTAAAGTTGTAGAAACTATATTGGACAATTATCTTGCTATCTTTGTGTGAGTAGCTATCGTGAGTCGGTTGCAGCCTAGGAATAATTCCAATTTATTAATTTATGGAAATTTTTTAATATAGTGAGTAGAGTTTTGAAGAATAATTCGACCCCCTCCCTAAAAGAAAATAGGTCAGTAGATGTATGGATCTAGGAATGATTATAAGTAGTTATTGGTTTATAACCTGGTTTTTCTGTTTCAGACAAAATTTGTTATTGTATTATTCTTGAATTTTTTTTGTTTGTATATTTTGTATTGTTTATCAATTTTGAATTAAGTGTATGTTATAATTTTTTTTTCTAGGTTGAACAGAATGATTAATCATTTGAATCTGAGATTCAAATTTTTTTTCTTTTTTTTTTTTGTAAATCAAACTTGTCTTTAATTTTTAATTATCGCCAAAAAATATTTTGATTCATTAATGTAAGATAGCTGATTGACAAACATCCAATAAACAAATGCATTGAAATTCTCAATCGTATAATAAGATGATAAACTAGAAACATGCCCACAAGATGAGAATATTTAGTGCCAAATACAAGAATATTGGATTATGCATGTAGTAGAAGCTACTGATAAGGTAACGCATGTCACATTACTTGGGTCATACATGATAATAATTGAGAATGCAAAGTCTATAGAAAATTTTGAGTTATTATTATTATGTGCATTTTTTATAGAAACCTGAATGTTTTAATGCACAGTAACTGCATAGTAACTATATATTTACTATTAAATTTAGGGATCTACTATTTCCACCATGAAAAATTGCTATTTCCACCATGGTTACACAAGATTTTCTATTTTTAGTATTT